ACGAGGCTGTAACTCATGTGGCATCTTTTAATTAATCGATGAGGATTATCGGTCCGGGTGGGGCACATGACTACTATTCCCATAAGTACTAGTAAGTACCCGTATATCTAGTGTCCATTCCGCCCTCGGAACGCGTCTCAGACACGTTGAACGCGTCCAAACACATTCAAAAATAGCTTACCGAACTGCCGAAATGATCGCCGCTGATTTGCCGGCACTTTGCCGCTGACATGCATCAGATGCCAAATAGTAGACCACAGTACCAATGGATTTTATTGATAATGTTAGTGGACGCCCCCTGCTGCGCCCCCTCTGTCCTTGGTGGGAATTTTCTGAGCGCATCTGATGCTGAGTCAGCAACTGCACGTGCAACTAGGCAGCCTTGAAAACAGCTGGAAACAGTCTCCGGGAAGCACAGTAACGTTCATCGCAATAAAACCAGAGATTTGAAGGCATGCCTTCGGTTGATGTCGCTGGTGCGCAGTAACCACTTGTCCAAATCAACGACGAAGATGTGATGTTCGCCGAGAATTTTTGGCACGATCATGCAAGACCGGATATATAAAGTGCCTCATAATTTGGTGCTACTCCCTGCAACTACTGCATCCGGGCTATCGTATAAACCAAAGACGAACACACAGACCGACCGGTTCAGAACAGCTGTGATTGGACTTCTGAATAAAGTGGAACGAAAGAGATACATAAATATTGTGCTCAGAATTCTGACTCTCTCCATCGGCACGCATGCGTCACAGAACTGGCCCAAATTACATTGCCTGGCTCCGGATTTTTGAATGGATTTCGTGCAGGATGCCGAAGAACAACCATTTATTTATTCTGAGAGCTGAGGAAGGGGCTAGAGCGCAATGTGCAACAGTGAGGTTTCCCCGAGACAGATCATCCAACACCATGACTTGAGCTCCTCAAGATGGGAGATGTAACTGTATATGAGCTGCGAACTCTATCGACGGATGGATTATATGCGAGACATGGGGAACACGCTCTCGGGAGAGGTCAACACCTTCGCGGGCCTGCTCATCGGTGATCCATGCTCTCTGCAATTTATTTGTGGCTAAACTCGGTATCCAAACGATCCAGACAGCCAATTCTGTCCACTGTTACTAGTACACGCGCTCAAAAATTTCCTCTCATCTTGAAGGCATTGTTCTGAACGCCAAGGTCTCACATAATTATGTTGAAATTATGATACAAAAGCAAGCTGCGTGCACGGAATTCTGGGATCTAAGAATTCCACGGGCCAAGTAACACCAAAGCGGCACATGGCGTGTATACGTATGCTATCATCTCATTCATGGCTGCGAGGATTCGCCATGTGATGTTCAACATACACGCTAAAAATGTGCCTGGTTCAACTTGGATCAACCCAGTGAAGTTTCTAATGTTAACCCTCATTCTATATGCACGCCTAGTCACCGCAGCTGGTGCAATGCCGCTTCGAATCTGACACATCCTGCTCAACCCGAAATAGCTGCAGCCTACCCTTGCTCCATCTCCCCATATTACTTGCGCTGCATCAATACACCAATTGGAGCTGCATCAGCACGTAAAATATGGCGGGAGAGGTGCGGACTACAGCGGGAAAGTCGCCCTTTAATTGCAATCCAACAAATTTCTCCATATCGAGACTTGTTGACCATATGGCTCTCAAATTAGCGAAGCAGGAAGTGGATTCATCAGACACTTTCTATTACACAGACGGAATGGACCTCAAAGGGACACATTTGCTCGCGCTCCAGACGACCAGAACCACCAACAACTCTCTGGAAATGCTCAGTGGACGACTCAGAATATATGTGCCACATGCTAGACTGCCAATTATCCCAGTGGCACTCAACTTACGCACGTAGCGCATAAACTGAACCCACCAATGTTGAGTCTAAAAGGCTGCCTGAGATGTTTTGTGGTTGAAAAGTTGCACGCAAAGTCCTTGGAGAATTCCATTCCAGTTCCAGTGTATTGATTAGTGGTCTGACGATTTTTTCAGATTCGGAGAGGTGTTATATCAGTCGAGGTGAAGATGTCTTTACGTAAGCGAAGATGTCGTTGCTTTCAGCTGTAATCCAGACTCTACCGTGGGGCACAGGGAGACTTGTGGGGTCTGCGAGCTTGGCTTGGAAAACAGATGGAGGTCCAGGGGCGATGGTGTACTTAATTTCGCTTGCTTTGTACACCGGGATAATTCCTGGAAACCGGCGTTCGTTATTCGGACCGTGCCGTGTAATGCTACCTACCTACCTACCTACCGCATGGCGCTCAAGAGCTTCCAAGTCGCGTTTGGCCAAGAGTGGGGTGTTATTGGTATTGCGAAGGACGTTGGAACGCACCGTCTGATGATCGGTATTGAAATGGAATGCGCTGGTTACAGTTGGCGCGGTATGCGCGAGACAGGGCAATGCAGATGGATTGTTGGATATCCTGAGCTACTGGAGCGGATGTTGGGGTATGTGATGCGCCGAAGATTGGACAGGAAGAAGGAGATAGCGCAGAGGAGCCTTGCTTTTGTGTTCGTGGCGGGATTCATTCCAGGCAAAAAGGGTGGGGGCAAGAAAACGACGGCGCAGAGTAAATTTGGGAAACCGAGCGTACTACGTGCTCAAAAAAAAAATTCCTGCAAAGAGGGTTTCTCTTATGCTAGACGCGCCGGTCCTCGTAAGTCCGGGGGGATAGATGGGCGTGATGTCGATCCGCATGGTAAGTCCAAGCTGAATGCCTCTACGAACACACGATCAGACTGACACATCGAGATCAGCCTTCGTCTTGATGTACTTTTTGTGCGGTGCTAGTTCTGCGGCGGGTGTGGAGAAAGCCGGAGGAACATAGGGGGGGATGGGGGAAATGGAGTCGAAGAGTAACTGGGAGGTGGTGCGAGATTGGTGGGAAGAGAAAGCGGAAGGTGGAGGGGGGAGGGTAGTATTCGCATTGAATTCGGCGTCGGAGATAACGGAACGGGGGGCAGCGAGAAGTTCATGGGCGTGGAGTGGGCTGGGGGCGGGGGAACGAGGTGTGGATTGGATAGCATGGGATCTGGATGCAGTGCGCGGTATGTCGCGGATGGGAAGAGGATGGAGGTCAAGGAGATGGAGGGGTAAAAGGGGGAGTGGATGGGCATGATGTGACGTGCAGAGGAAACGCATGCGGGATGCGTGGAAGGGTGGTAGGATAAGAACGACGTGGAGACTAAAAGACGGTGCAGAGGTGGAGGAGGGAATGGAAGGTAGCGCAGGATGGGTGGATGGAGGGAGAGATAAGTGGAGTGGTGCGGGGTATACCGCTCGCGGCAGGAGCTTGGGCGGTGTGGAGAGGGAGTGCGTGGTGCAGAGGGGGTAAGAGGGGAGAATCCGTGAAAGAGCGAGTAAGTATGGGAGGTATACCGCAGGACGGGCGGGACGCGGAACGTAGGGTGCATGACCGATGTCTGACTGGAGAGGTGGAACGAGCTGCTCGATGGGAACGATGAAAGGTGGCCGCGGGAGCGGTGGATGTAATGGGAATAAGAATGGGCGTTGGGAAGGAAGGGAGAGGGCAGCAGGAGGGGCGGAAAGAGACATTGCGTAGTAGATGAAGATGAGCGGGTTAGGTCCCTCCATGTGCGAACTTCGTCTTGCGATATACTCGCGCCGTGGGTGTTAGTTTCTGCTGTTATATATGGGGAGGCGGGTATAAAGAGGGAGTGAGTGAAAGGAAGTGGGATGAAAGGATGGGAATGTACCAAAACGCGGGGAGTAGAGAAACAGGGCGCAGAGGTGGATACTGTGGGATGGGCGGGAACGGGCGCAGAAGTGGACGTGTCGAGAGCGCGAGAGCGAATGGAAAGAGCGAGGCGGGTTGGGAATAGAACGGCGCGCAACAGTGGAGGGCGGGGCGAGACAGGCAGGAGGGGAGTTGTGCAGGAAGGGACGGCAGGAAGCGGAGAGAGGCGGAGAAGCTACACATAAGCAGTAGAGGACGCAGGCGTAGGATGGCGAGATGGGTGAGGGTGCCGCATCGACCAGCAGGTGCAGGCATGGAGGGGAACGGGACAAAAAAAAGTAAAGTACAACTCTCGTCGTCGCCGCCGTTCGGCCTGCAGCTATGTGTCTCGCATGCTGTATATCAGGTCAGTCGTGGGCATGCCAGCGGCGCAGCGGATAACACACCTCCACGCCGATGAAAGCAAGAGCTCTTCGTCGGGTCTTTTTCGCCTGCTGGGCCATCCGTCCGAGTGCGCCAAAGCATACCTCGAGGCTCTTCATCGACTTCTTGCGCGGGAATTGGACGTAGCCGAGGCGCAAGGGTCGGCGCATAAGACGATGTAACGCACATGGATGCAGTATAAAGAGTGGCGGTGCATCTCGGCAGTAGTCGCCGGTCGGCACGCTCTCCGATTCACCCGCTCTTGACTGATGGGATGGCCGGCAAGCGGCGGGTCACAAACCAAACTTTTGCACGCTCGGGCCGCGCTTCGCGCGCCCCTCACTCGCGTCCGAAGGAGGATCGGAGATCGCCGAGCGGCACGTGGAGATTACATAACGTTTTTTGGCGACAATCCTGAGCACGGTATGACACAAAGTGTCCAAACAAGTTTGGTTTGTGAACCTTATGCGTAAACCACGTCGTTCTCGATGAAGCCCGGACGCTATGCTCATCCTCCAACAAATATCATGCATTTCACTCGGATTTACTCATATCCGAGTCGCAACTTAGCAGTAAGGCTCCAATCATTTAATTTTTGTGTATGGATCTGGGCGCACTAAACGGAAACGATACTTAAACGGTTTAAAACAGTCTACAAACAGTATTTTTGTAGGGTTTGATTTCCACCGTCAAGAACCTGTCCATGAAATGGGCTTCCAGTTTGAAATATGCTTGAGGATCTCTGGCGTGATTAACAACTTCTCCGAAGTCTGCAGGAGACGCAGAAGACGGCCAGCGGTGTGGAGGTCGGCAGTAGGAGGCCTCCATTACAACACGTGTATACCTCCGAATGGGGAACATTCGCATGCCCTCCTGAGGATTCGAACCTCCGCCTACCATTTCCATTTGAACCCTGAAATTTTAATGGATAAGAATGAACGATGTGGCCATTCATCGACGAGGGCTTATGTGCTTGATTTTAAACATAGATAATCCCGTCGGTTTCACTCTATTAATCTTGAGTAGCAATATTTCTCTGCGCCTTGTAATACCATGCCACAAAGGCCGCCGCAAAAGCGAAGTTTAGTACATATGCATATACCGTAGAACTGGCCCGGCATCTGCTTCAATTTAACTGGGACGGCCTGAATGGAAATTCATTCAGCTACACATGCTCGGGGGGATTGGCACTTCCCCCTTCCATTTCGTCACCCCTTCAATATTTTTTCATGCAAAAATCCTTTTGCCCGGAGTTCACACAGTGCCGGGATGAGACAGGGAGAATTTCGAATTCTAACGACATCACCAGAGAGGATTTATCATATTTCAAGTTAGAGCGGAGAAAATGTACACGGAGGATTAGCGCGACTCTAGTGGAGTTGGCGGCGCAGTGTACAAATATATTATGCCGGTGAGGGGCCGTGTAGTTGTGGCGACCGTTGGCACCAAGGAGACTCGCTACATATTAGGGGCGGTATTCGGTGACAGGAAGAAGCAGTCGTTCGAAGGTCCAGAAGCAGAAGAGTCACGGTAGGTAGGTGTCTTAGAGGCGGGAGGGTGAATTAAAGAGCCTGCGAAGACACGCAGAGAGGGGGGCTTTGAATTAGTGTTGCCGTTGAGTCGAGTCAGACTCGAGTTTTTACTCGACTCGAAAATCGAGTTATGTAACTCGATGCGATCGAGTCGAGTCGAGTTTGGACTCGAGTTGGATCGAGTTTGCTATCCCAAAATGGCCAAAACGTACACCCCGCCGGAAATTGGACCCAGTCTCAACCTAGGCTCCTCCCGTTCATCTACTAGAATAGGTCTCTGTATTTACACGCGCCAAAAGTGACCTGCAGCGACGACTAGTTCGATATATGTGCAAGTTCGGCTCATTTGGGGTGATGGCATCACTACTCATGATCGCGTGACTCGCGTCTCTCTTTCCTTCTCCACTCACCACCGCGTCCTCAAGCATGCATGAGCTGAGCTCTTGCCTATGTCGTGCTCCAGAGGAATGCAGGTGCCCAAATTCCCGCTGGCCTCGGTTATCACCCTCCCAATCCTTGTCGGAGCCCTCGGCTGGCACATCAAGCTCGACCAATCATCCAATGCATCCACCACCCCCAGTCCCCTTCTCTGGACCCTCGAGTTGCCCAGGATGCCGCCCCAGGATACGGCGCGTATCAGATCCAACTGCAGAGCAATACCATACCTTTTCCTACCTATATTCAAGCCTCCCAGAATTCACCGGATTCTATCCCTGTTACGCCGCCAAAAAAGCGCAAGCGCAAAGAAACTCCCGTAGGAACTCCGGCAGCTGCTGCTGCAGCAAAAAAAGCCCAAGAAGATCGTCTCCAGAAAGTCGTCGAACACCAATAATCCAGTATCTATTGATGCACCGCCTGCCTGCGGAGTCGGTCCCATTGTACCTCCATCTCCTATTCCCTCTACTTCTAGTTCCGTTGAAACTCCTTCACGCAACATCTTTGTGCCTACTTCTGCCCCTACCGATTCTGTTGACCCCCCACCTCCTTTCGTCGATGTCGCTCCGCAATCAGAGTCTGCGTCGGCTACTCGTACCGTCCCTGTACCGCAGCCTCAGCCGGATGTTTCCCACAAAAATTTTAGTACTAGGGGCGCTACCGATGTCTACTTCTTCGTCCGCCCTTTGAAGACCAATGTCCCTCCAGAGAAGCTCCCTACGGCCGAAAATATCGACGTGGCAACACCTGCACTGCTTACAGAGAAACCAAGTATGAAAGACTATCCTTTCCTCGGCTGCCGACTCTGCGAGTACGTCATAGTCTACAGAATACCCGGTTTAATCTGAAACCCACTTGTATATTCGTAAAGGCACTGGCAGGTGTGGAAAAATAGCAGCGGCGGTGTTACCACGAACATTCGCAAGCATCTAATCGACCATCATGACCAAATATTTCAGCCGATTGTCCGAAAGCTTGGCCTCAAGCACTCGGACGACATGGATCCCCAGTCGAAGGAGGAGTTTACAGTGGATGGATGGATTGAGAAGTTAATTCGTTGGATTGTAGCTGATGACCAAGTGTGTGATTTTTCTTCCCGCAAAGTTTCTGCAATGAATGTCCCATCCAGTCAATCAATGTCATCGACTGCAAAGAGTTTCGCGATTTCGTTCTTTTTGGCCGCAACGAAACAGAAAAAGATCTACCGCATAGAACGGCTCTCACCGAACGAATTCTCAAGCAGTACACTGAAGTTCGTAAAGCGCTCCTGGCAGAATTCAAGGCGAGATCTTCCCTTCCTAAATGTGTGCTATTCCTCATCTGGGTTCAGAGGGCCGAAGGGCAAATACACTTTACGGCAGATGTTTGGTCCGATGGCAATCTTACCGCCTTCATGGCCATAACCTCGCACTTCTGCATCCGCGACGAAAACGGAAATCTTGTTATTGCAAACCGGCTCCTTGCGTTTCGTCTTGTCGAAGGGAAACATGACGGCGAGAACTTCGGCAAAATAGGATTCGGAATTTTAAAAGACGCGGGAATCCTTCACCAGGTCAGTCATTCATCTCGTTTCCCTTTGTGTCTGTTAAAACAATCCAGTCCGGTCTCTGGACTCTTGATAGCGCGGGGAATAACGGCACATTCATGGTTCATCTCGGACATCTTTTAGCGGCGGAGCCCGGATTAGTGATTGAGTTTGACCCGGAGGGAAATCGTATTCAGTGCGTTGGAATACTCGTCCTCATTGACGTCGTTGATTTTAACGGTTCTCACAGTTGCTTCCCGCATGTTATAAATATTGCAACTCAAACAGTCCTGAAAGAGCTCAAAGAAAACCCTCGGCTTCCTGTAGTAACCTCTTCCAGCTCGCTTCCTTTCGCCCAATTAGCCGCCTACGCTGATGCAGTCGAGTCAGACCCGATTAGCGGTGGCCGGCAAATTGTCGCGGCGTGTCGAGCCTCAGGCCAACGTTGCAGCGACCTCCGGCAGGTGATTATTCAGGGCAACGAAGCAAAGACCTGGTCCCAAAACGGCACCATACGCCCTGTTCAACTGCTTCGAGACTGCGAGACACGATGGTCTTCGACATTTATGATGAATGACCGAGTTGTTGAGCTTTATCCTGTAAGTCTTTCGCTCTTTATGTTCAATATCCACGAGCACAGCTGAATGCTTCTTAGGCTGTCCAGTGTTTTCTCAAACATCCTCACCAAGAGTCGCTATCTCATCTTCTCTTCACGGAGGATCAGTTCCAAGTGCTCAGCGATATACAACTTATCCTGTCGATCCCCCACGCCGCACAGGAGCTGCTCTCCGCCGAAAAAACTCCGACGTTATCCATGGCGCCCCCCGCCTTCGAAATTCCACTAGTGTCTTGGTTGAATCTCCAGATAGAAATGCCCGAATTGGCACACTACATCGGAGTGGGCATTGCCAAAATCCAGGAATATGTTAACAAAGGTTGTAAAAGCCGGATTTACGCCCTCGCAATGAGTACGTTATGCTACTGATCCCGTCTATTCGCAATGCTGACATCCCCAGTCATCAATCCAACGATGAAGATGGATTGGATCGAAGCTCATTGGCCGGCCGAAGATGCACGAAAGGCGGAACAATGGATGGTTGAGGTAGTACGTCCCTCCTGCATTAATATTTTTAATTCTAGCCGATCTGTATACCAGATGGCAGCGTTTGCCACTGCCAGGAGACATGCAAATGCGCAGAAAACTAGTGTTTCATCCCCCACCACTCAAACTACACCTCAATCTATCTCATCTTCGTCTCGTGCCTCCGCAGCCCAGGTTTCAGGGTTCTCGCGCTTATCGGGGCTGACTACTATAGCTCGCAAGAAAGTCTCTTTACCTGGTGCTCCCAACACCGTCAATCCACATGCTGAGGCGGAACTATCCCAAACGACATCCCCGACCGAACCCGAGCCGCTAACGGCCACCGAGAAGGCAGAACATGAACGTTTGGCTTGTGAAGATGACCTACGAGTTGCAAGACGCGAGTTTGCAGATTATAAGAACGAACCACTCGAAATCTCGAACGCCTCGACGTGCTTCAATCTTGTGCGTTATTGGGACGTGAGTCTTTTGGGCTTGCGATATGCAGATCAAATTCTAATTTGCCATAGCTCAAATCCGAGTCAAAACCTATCATGTTCCGGGTCGCGTGTGATGTTTTACCCGCACAAGCATCTGCTGTGCCGTGCGAGCGTGTTTTTTCTTCGTCGTCCGAAACCGACACCAAGCGCCGGAACCATTTATATCCGACATTGTTTGAAAGCCTCCAATTCCTGAAGTATTCATATAATTTTAAACAGTCAAGATTGGACTTCATCGTGGGTATGGTGGCGCAAGAAGAAGACTACACTATCGAGGGAACTCTGTCGGACGTGGCAATTCGGGAGTTGGTTTTGGATGGAAAAACGGAGGAACTTGCAGATGTGCTGAAGAATATGAGAGAAGAACAAGATCCTGTACCACAGTAATACCCAGATATCCTCATACCCATGTATTTGATGAGATCGCAGCCGACGCGAGCGAAGGGAAGCCTGCGACCAAAGCGTGGGAATTCCACTTGTCTAACTCGACCAAACTCGAGTCAAAACTCGCCAAACTCGATCGATCAAGTTGGCGATCGAGTTACAACTCGACTCGACTCGACTCGACTCGACGGCAACACTACTTTGAATGAGTATCCTGCAGTGGCAGCCGATGTGCCGCCCCCAGCAGTGCCGGTGTTCCGGTGCAGTTCTCAGCCTCTTCTCTTGCTCTTCTCCATAGTTCAAAAACAAATTCACCTGGACAAGGAATGTGTGCATGCATTGTGAAGAGCGTGAGTCTGCTGATATCTAGAAAGCGGCACATTTACAGTACAATGTAATTATCATATACAGAGTTGTGATGTGACGGTCTGTAATTATGGTTCCGATGGTAACATCCAGCCTACACAATGTTCTGCTTGATACTGAGTGGGCTTCTACTGATTCTGTG